CTGCAATATTTCTACCATAAATTCGCCTGCTATCATTGTGCGTTATCATCCAAACAGCAGACACACCCGGCCGTGAACTTTTGCTCATCAGGGCATAGACTTGGAGCCCTGGGCTGCGTAGCTTCTGTCGCCGCTATCCAGGAGGCCATATGGCCTCCTTTCACGATTTACAGAGAGGCATCCGGCGCACCGTACCGAGGCACATAGGGGCTTCCAAGGCTTGGCGCACTGCCCAGGAGAGCTGGACGGCAGTTTCCCTGGCTGTACCTTAGCCAGGATCAGAACACAAGCGCTGACGGCGGCGTACGCAGCTAGTGCAGCAGGACCGTGAAGGCAGGGGAAGTGCAGTAGCTTTACTGAGAGCTGCGGCACTCCTCGAGGTTTGTCTACGGGATCGCGAGAGAGGACGGTGATGGCTTGGTCCTCCGACCCTTAATCGCCAGTTTGGCAGCATCAGGGTCTGCTGCTGCTGCAACCCCTGCTTGCTTCCTTCAGGACGAGTATGGCCACCCTCAGTTGGAGTAGAGGTATGCCGTTTCCCTCTTCTTTGGTCCCCTTTGTTTCTTCTAGGGAAAAGGGGGGCGCCTGTCTTCTTGCAGGCCTTACCCAAAACTCTGTATGGCCTACCAGGCATCTTCCCTGCGTACTATATTTTATGAATGCGAGAAGTATCTGGCTGCTCATGCTGCTGTATTTTGATCTCCGGACGAACGGACTGACGCCATGCGTTTTTTTGGGAAAAAAATCCTGCTTTTCTGCGGCACGAACTCTTGACGCTGCCGCAGTTCCTTCTGCTTCTGCTGCTGCTGTCGAAGGTAATGGAAATTGGGTAGGGTCATACCCTCCGACGTTTCTGAGAAGTGGGGGAGCCGTCGCGTTGCGAGACCAGTGGATCCGTTTAGCCCTTCTTAGCGGCAACGCGGGGGGGCCCCATGGCGCCTTCAACGACGGGAGGGCCTCCCATGAGGGCAACAGGCCCTCTGGGCACCTTCATGCAGGTGCCTGTCATGATGCTTTTGCTGTTGTTTCTACGCCGTTTGGAGTTTTTGCTGTTGCTGCTGCCTTGGCTTCCCCCGGTGTGGCCGTGCCATGCCGTCTTGTTGCGTGTAGGGAAGCGACCCCTGCGAGGCGCCCCTTGAGCTGTTTGTCTTGGACAGACGGTGCTGTTGCAGCGGCTTTGCTGCCGCGTTCGGTGTCTGTACACCCGACTGCGTGTGCGGTTCTGTTGCGCAGATGAAGTCGATGAATTCCTCAACTGGATTTTCGTCTTCGGCCTCATCGTGCGCATTGGCGACGGCTGTCGTTGTTTAGCCAGGAACCTTTCTCTTTCTCCCGAATTCGCGCATTCTACTGTCTCATGGGTCTAGAGATTGGGGCTGGGGGGTTGTGCTGCATGCAGACGATGGTTTATTCGCTGTCTCGGTACTTCTCTCGACGGCATCGCCTAGCGGAATTTCAGCAACGGAACTTGGGAGAGCGGCTACCAAGAGCACATGCAAGACGGGAAGTAAGGTGGAAGCCCTAAACATCAATTGCCGCTAGCGCGCAGCTAGTTGGGGTGTTGCATGCACAATGGCTGCCTGCGTAAAATGTGCAGATGCCCCCAGATATAGAAATCAACGCAGACAGGCACCTGCAACAAGGAACCGCACGAAGCCCGTAGCAGCACAGTCAACAGCGGGTGTCTTTGTCGCGTGTACATACACTCCAGTAGTCGATAGTACATAATGCATGCTGTACTCTAGAGGGCTACATCGGCCTGTTCATGTCTTGTGCTTGGGTGCAGCCCCCAAGCTTTTTGCGGCGTATAGACACTTGGAGCCCCGCCAAGACGTATTCCTCAGTTCTAGAGGAATACACCCCAGCAGAGGGTAGCCAGCAGCCTGTGGGGAGACCCCCCAGAGGTGCTCCTTCACCAGGGAGGGAAGAGGTGAATCTTTGCATGCGTCTTTATGCGTCGCAGTGGATAGTGTAGAGGGTTCCTCCAGACACACACCCCTTGAGAATATCTAGGCTGTTTTCACACGTACAGATAATGGATGCGCAGGGCCTGAGAGATCGTTGCCGATGGTCATTTATACACATACGCATGCATGTATACATATATATATATATATCTCTTTATGTGTGTGTGTTTCTGGCGTGTACTACTGTTGCTTGATGGGCTTTCAGGCCACACGCGTGGTAGAGATTGAATTGGCGGAGAGACTTCCTCCATCGGCTCCTGCCGCGGAGCCGGAGAAGGAGGGCTTGGGGCGTTTTATTGAATCTGGGTGGGTGGGGTCTGTGTGTGTAGGCACGCATGCAGACTGGTCTCTAGTGCAGGAAGCGTGAAAACAGCATGTGGCGGTGGCCTTTTTTTAATCGTACATGCCTCTTTGCGATACATTTATGATGTTCAGGTGTGCAATATGCTTCGAGGAATTTAGCCCCTCGGTGTTGGTGCGGGTACTGCCCTGTAGACACATCTTCCACAGGAACTGTCTAGACACCTGGTTCCAGAGAAGCGCTGTAAGCGTTCATGAGGCAGTTCTGTGCGGTTCGCCTGATACCGAATGATGCCCCTCCGCGTTTTTTTGCATCCGTATATGCCGTTTTGCTTCTGTGCCTACTCTGCAAAAACCCTGTGCATGCAAGTCGCTTGTTGCACGGCTGCCTTCAATGCGCACCTCCAGAGTTTCCCCCAGCCCTCCGCTGTTGTTGCCGCTGAACGTCTGCACGAACGACTCTAGCATGCCACGCCGTTCGCGATTTCTCTGTTCTTGCAACTCCATGTCTCCCTAGTGTTGCAAAGTGTGGTTTGCTTTCCTCTTGGTCGTGTGCCTTTTTGGCCGGTAGTCGCTGTTAAAATTTCTCTCTATGGCTGCCTGTGCGTCTCGCGGGCACCTTTTTTCGTATGCCTGCGACAGGTGTTTTGAAAATCACACTCTCTGCTTGCGTGTTCTCCTTTTTCACGCAGATGTGCCCTCTTTGCATGCACGACTACAGCGCCGGCCCTCCGCCATCGGCAGCCTCAGGCACAGGCGAGGGATTGTCTGCAGGAGACACCTCAGCAGAGGCCTCCCTGCCTGCGTATGATAGGCCTCTCGCCTTTCGCTTCTTTTCTTTTCCTGGAAGACTGCGACAAAACCATTAGCCGTGTGGCGTTGCCTACACAAACCGGGGGAAACCGTCTTACTGTGACTTTTTTCTTGCACAAACATACTTTGATGCACATACACGCACATGCATACACACACATACACGTACACACACACACACGTAGATGCATGTGCGCATGTATGTGTAACTCTACATATATATATATGCATGTATAGGTATGTATCTATATGTTTCTATGTGTAGCTATGTGTATGTATTCATGTATGTACTACATGTGCACAAAGATATCCTCAGAAACCTGCGCATGCATATACGTATATACTTTGCCCACCTACTTGTATGGGATACACAGCTAATCCCTTCACCCTCCATAAAGGTGTGATTCATGTAGATTGCATTTATAAATGGATGGCACATCTCTGTAGACAGGGTTGTGGGGGCTTGACAGGAATTCTCCTAGGATGTGCGCATGTATGTATGTACGTGTGTGTGTGTGCACGCTACCTACACACCCATGTTCAATGCTTGTGTAGAGAGGAATGACGGCTTTGGGATTTATGGGGAGAGGGTGGTAGAACAGCCTCTAGTAGTGTGAAAACGGGTATGTGGACAAGTCGGCTTTGGCGAGAAAGGCTGCTCCGTGTACTTTTTGTTTGCCTGGCTTTGATTGAAAGCGCTTGTGTGGCAAGGCCAGCAAGCAGCTTCAGGCACGAGAGCACATCAACTAGACATGTAGCCTTTGCTGTCTCCGTTGTCGGCGTGTGCCTCGCCTCGGGATTTTTCCCTTTAGCGTGCCTGTGGACAGTAGTACATGTGTAGACATTCATACATATGTATATATCGATACGGTGCGCCTGTAGCGGAGGAGATGCACGCTTTTGTGAGATCGAGCAAAGCCACTGGAGGCTGTGCAGTGACGAGTGAACGCGCGGGAGAGCGACCACGAGGGACGGCAATCTCTTGCCGCGCTATCTCAGCGGTCTTCGTGTGTATGTCTGTGAGACTATTTCTCATACAGCTCCGAGAGGGAGCAGCCACAGGGGAATGGGTATATATATATATATATATATATATATATATATATATATATATATATAAGTATATGCGGGGCACTCATCGCATCCTAGAGAAGATCTACGCATGCGCAGGATTGTTTGCTGGGAAGGGGGCAGGCACAAAGAGGCACGAGAGTTTCGGAAAAGCGCTGACGCAAAAACGGGGGCGAAGAGGCGCATGCCCTGCAGCCTGTGGAGCCTCGGCTCGCCCTGGCACGGGCACACCGATTTTTGGGGCTTTCTCTGTGTAAACGAGCAGTTGCATGCGTTTCCTTTCTTCACACATTCCACCAGGAATGGATTGTGCCATCTGTAGCTGGCAAAAGTCTCTTAATGCTCTAGGCCATATGTCAGCAGCCCCAAAGAAGCACCGGAAACAATCCGCATGCGGGTGTTTTTGTGGGCAAATAAGGCGTGCCTGAACCGACATTTCTTTTGAGCACGCTGCCCGTTTAGCACACAGGAGAGAGAATAGCGAGAGCGGAAACTGACGAGACTAAAGCGAATCGCTTTATCGTTCTCGCACTCGATATGCAGCACACACACAACGGTATTCTCCTGTCTGTGCATTGAGCATCCCTCGTCTCGGCAGTCAACTACTGAGACTGCTGCACCGCTTTGCGGAGCAGAGAAGGAGGGGTGGGTGGGTAGGTGGATGGATGGATAGATAGATAGGCCTGCGAGGCAGTACAATGTGTTTGAGGGAGGCGCAACAAATCTTTGGATCCACGCCACTTGCCCCAACAAACGCGCGCCTTGCCGCTGAATGCATGCAGGCACCCAGGCACCGAGCCGGTCGCATTCTGTGCAAAGACGCTGCTCTGAGGCGTCGGGAGAAGACGCTTACAGACCCTCATATTTGCTGAGGTTGTACTTATCCTTGTGAGCGGCGAAGTGCTTCTTGAAAGCCTCCTTCTGCTCCTCCAGAGTGTCTACTGGGTGGCTCCACACATCGGCAAAGAGGCCCTCCAAAATCGGCCACCGCTTCACCTTCTCAGCCTCTTTCATCTTTGCCAGCATGACAGTGCGCGCGTCTTTGCGCAATGCCTCGTCCTCCTGCTCACTCCACCACCCCTGTTGATCCATGTACTTACGCACACGGGCTGCGCGCAGCAAAAGCAGTTTCGCATGCATGTACAGTTCGTCGCCGCTGCACGACATCGGGGAGAGATACGCCTGTGTCTGTGGGTTTTTATGCGGACTAGCGTCTTCGCTGCCTGTCTGTGTTTCTTCCCCTACTGCCCCACTCTGCAAGCAGAACGGACCCTTTTTCCCTCCTGCACAGCGATTGACTGAACGCTGTGTTGGATGACTTACCGATCGGGAGAATACCAGACGCATTCCACGCCTCCAGCTCCCCAGGCTGGCGATACGCTGAGCTGTCATCTGAAGTGCTGTGCTGCCCGACTCTGCAAAGCCGCACGGCAATAAGACACGCACGTGCATGTCTTGTTGGAAAACCGTCATTCCTTCACGGGTGTGCAGCAGTTAAAACGACCCGCCCTCCCCCGAAGGATCTGTTTCAAAAGCCAGCAGCAAAAGCGTCGAATCGACGCTCGCGTGTGCGCCGCGAATGAACAGCTTGAAAAAATCGTGCTGGCTAAAAGCGTTCTCGGACCTCCTCGAAAGGATTTTAACAGAATTGCCGCAAACTGACCTGTACGTCATGAATTCCATGAGAACAGGCTCTTGAGTTTCAAGAATAATGTCGCGCGCAGCTTTGGTGGCAAGGTAAGAGGCAAAGAGATCGTTGCCGTCCACTCGGATGGTGCGCATGCCATAGGAGATGCCTCGAATTGCAATACCATCGCCAGCGTACTGGTCCTTCACGGGGGTGGAAATGGCATAGCTGCGTGAAACAACATACTCCAAAAATCCTGTCATCAGCAGCCAAAGACGCTTCGTTGTGTTTGTAATGCGCGCCGTTTGGCACATTTCCCGGGGAAGACGCCACTGGGCAGCAGCACTAAGTAGCAGATTCGCTACGATGCTGCTATAAACATACATGTATATAGATACATATGTATGTGTATAAATAGAAAGGCATATATATATAAATGCATCTATGTATGTCTACGTATATACATGATTAGATATGTATACATACATATATATATATATATATGTATATATGCATGTATATGTATATATATGTATAGAGATACAGAGATGTCGGAAAGATGAGACTAACGGGGCAGCAAAAGAGAAACACTGCCCCTTGAGTCGCATGGATGCATGCATTTATGGGGAAAAGCTTCAAGGCAAGCATCCCTTTCCCCCTTCTGCTTTCTAACACCCGCGAAAACAGCCTTGTTCAAAAACACAAGAAGGATTCAAGAGCTCCACCAGCTACACATACCCGTTATTTCTGCAGACAAGCAGCGTGTTGCCCTTCAAGGTTGCAGCAAAGTTGGCGGCAGCATGGAAATCACCCTCGCTTGCAGCTCCTACATCGAGAAATAACACGCACACAGACTGGACATACACCCCGTTGTCTAACCACCCCGCGAACCTCCCCCGATGAACCTGATTCTCTGAAGAGGCATAAAAGCACCCTATACACCCTATTGGGGTAGACCTCAGAAACGCTTAAGGCCGAATTCTCACCTTCCCCGAAGAATCCAACGGAAATTCGCTTTTCATTCCCGAGGCGAAACGCGTATCCCGCCCCCATGCTGTGAGGCACCTGAAATGCATGTGAATAGATATGGATAGACGTGTACATGCACATAATATACATGTATACATGAATATATATACATTTTAAGCACACATTTACATATATACACATATCTACATGCATGTGTATACACATGCATACAAATACACATACACACACATCCACATACACATGTACATACATACACAGCTACATACATACACAGCTACATCCATACAAATACACATGCATACACATACACATACATACACATATACATACGTAGACATCTACATACATACAAATTCACATACACACACATACAAATTCACATACACACACATACAAATACACATACATACACAGATACGTACGTACAAATACACATACATACAAATACACAGACATACTCATATCCATACATACACACATACACGCATTCATATATACATCTTGCGCAACCCCTTAGACACAGACAGGGGCATACGAGGCTGTTCCGGTGCGAAACATCCGCCTAGCCAAACAGGCAAAGTGTACAGCGGTATGAGCGCTGCTGACAACTACACAAGACTCCACGATGGGGGAAGGCAAGCAGCAACAAACGCCACACAAACAGCGGACTGACTTGAGTGGTGAGAGGCGTGCAGATGGTGTGCAGTCCGATCTTCTGCTTCGAGTAAGAGATAGGCATCTGCCTTCCCTTGCCTTCATCATGCTTGGTGCTAAGCAACTGGCCAAGAGTGTCTTCAAGTGTAAAGCCCTTCATCATCAGCACACCCAACTCCCTACAGCAACACCAAATCACAAACGCGAAAAGCCGTTGAGAATGTGCAGAAAGCAAGGCACGAGAACCGCAAGAAATATATGTATATATATATATATATATATATATATATATATCACATACGCACACGTATACACACACACACACATACACTCACATATATATGTATATATATATACATGGGCATATCTACATCTCGCATGCACACATAGATGGGCACACAGATTGCACACACGCACTCATGGACTCCCATGGCTATATATGACTAGCAAGCACAACAGCCATCCCTTCATCGATCCTTGATCCTTTGGACCTGTATTGCAAGAAGATATGATCTTCGGGCATGAGGGCTTTGCCGATGCCAGCCTGAGTGGCTTCCTCTCCTTGGTTTTGAATGTAGAAGGAGAAACGACCTGAGGCAGGAGCGGCAGACTTTACAGCGTTGACTGGGAGTTTTTTCTGCATCTTGCAGCAGCATGAGACAAGCCACACATGAGGCGGGAGGCCCTACACAACTGGCGAGCCAGTGTTGAGCAGCCGGAATGCGTGGCAGCAGCAAGATCAACTCGCTCTTGTCTTACCCTGCCTTTGCACGTTGTAAAGCATATTATCCCATACGCTGAGGCGCACCATGAACTTGTACATGTCGATCGTTTCCTCCTTGGAGAAGGGATTTTCCCAGCCCTGCTCGAGATGACCCTCCGGAGTAAGAATGCGGAAAATAGGGATGACGGGAGTCTCTTTGTTGATGTTCAGTTCCGTGGTAAACTCCGTGTGGATGAGACCCTCATGATACACCTGCGTCTTTGAGGAGGTGCCCGCATAGCGCCGCTGGAGGGAGGGGCATAGAAAGCCCCCAGACACCCCCGGAAAGATCCCCGTCGTGCGATTTCTGGGAATCAGCGGAGTGCAGATGCCTGCAGACTCCCTGCTTCCCCAGTGTAGAGCAGCCGCGCGCTGACGGAGGGGCGAGAGGGCCTCCCGGACGGCTGTCAGAGAGAGGCTGAGCGTCATTATCCTGCACTTCGGGAGTGATCTTATGAATCTCGAGATCTGTATTCAGGTAATGCCGGCTTGGGGGCAATGTGCGACCCGAACCCGTGGAAGGTGTGCAGCAACGCCGGACGAACAGCAGGTGTACAGACGGCAGCCGCTGAAGCGCGCGGATGTTTGAAATATGGATTCGGGTTTGGCGTTAGAGACTCGAAAGTACGTGTAAATGCAAGGAAGCAAGCGATACAAGAGGTGATCATGGCCGTTGAGGGCCGCGCGAGCCGCCGCAATTGCTCATAGTAGTCATCACCCTGACCCCTGTCGTGTGTGGCTGGAATCATGTGCATGCTACGGGCTATCTGAAACTCCTGCCATTCCCCCCGTCTTCGGAGCCTCAAATTCTCCACCCTAATATCAGAAACTCTCAATAGAACCATCTCCTACTTGACCAAGGGGAAATCGCTGTTGCGGAGTGCCTAAGAAAATATGAGGCCGCTTCGAAGCAGCAGCGCGCCTTAGCACCTCACATCACCTCCCCCATCTATCAGTCAATACACACGCGGAAATACAGCCTATATGCCTTAACAGCTGTTATCTATCGAATGCAACGAGAAAAACGATGGCATTCACCTTTGCACACCCCCACGCCTCAACAACACACGCACCCACAGACACCCCAACTCAACCACAATGCACACCCCGTCCACGCTGCTCTCTATCCCTAGAATGGGAAAACTCTCTTCCCGCACTATGCAAAAAACATGCTGCCTCCACCCTTTCGTTCCCCCAGTTTCCAGCCTCAGACATCTCGGCCCCTCCCCCGGATGCGCAGGTGCAGGGAAGCAGAACAAAGCGAAACGATTCCCCGAAAATACCCATCATAGCGCTGCTGATGTAGAGACTTGGCCTCATAAACCATTCCTAACGCGCAGACGCCTATAGAGCCTCTACCCATATCGCTCCCTTGTATGCTCTTGGCGGAGTGCAGACTTTTCCCAGTGCCGAAATTCTCAGGCTATCCTCCCACGAGACCTTTCAGGCCCTCATTGCAACACTCGCTACTTCCACGATTTCGGCTAAGAAGCTTTCTAACTCCCCACTCAGTACCAGCTATATGTACAGACCTGTTGAGTGGCTGGCAATGTGTTTCCTCCTTGAGCTGCGAACGTCCCTCAGACTCACTACCAGTTGTATATAGAAAGCTGTTGAATACCTATCCAAGCGGTTTCCTTCATTTCCTGCCAGCGTTCATGATAGGAGAGGGCTGTGCTAGGATAAGCCCCGTTGCGTTCTCTAAGCGCTCCGAGCATTCACTACTAGTGACACATGGCAGCTAACAACGACGCACACGGCAACGTCTTTATGTATCCGGCTAACAGTACTGTGTAATAGCGAATGTGTAGACGCGCAGAGAGACAGCCGGAAATCATCGCCACGTTTTGTAAAGTTTTCAAAAAGTCGAACTGGCGGAGCAGAAAGTGCTCAATGAGGTGTCCTTTCCCCCGCGAGGAAACCTGAGAAAATGCTTTCTCCCGCTACGCGCAACATACTTCTGCCGAGACTGCTGCGTGACTCTGCTGCTTAAGAGCATGTGCAGCCCCCCCTCAGGCAGCCGGGAAATCGGTTCACAGAAGAATCGAGGTCAAAAGCCTTGTGCAGATGAAGACGGCAGTGCAGGCACGGTACTAAGAGCTGCTAGAGCACATGACTGGAGAATCGGCTAGAAGCCGGCAGAAAGCATTAATTGAGGGGCCCTTTTTCAAGGCAGTGTCACGCAGAGTGCACAGCATCCCAATTTGTTGGGGAGGCGGAGGGCGTTGATTCAGCGCCTTACGAGTTCTCTTTTCTCCCTCTCCCCCCTCTCCAACCCTTCAGCAGCTGTCTCAAAGCGCCCCCTCTGTTTTTTCAGGTGATTCACGATGAAGTCTCGCCCTTTCGCCAAGTCCTTCCGACGGCTCCTTGCTTGACGCGAACAGTCCATTTGGGTGTAATGTCTTAAAGGAGTTTCATAAGTGCTGTGACGTCGCCTCCCTTTAAGGCACCTTCCTGCGCAGCGCACTGCCGCCACTCGAGACGGCGAGGGCTGGCGAAGAGCCATCAGCAAGCATCTCTTGGATGTGTGCGTCTGTGTGTGTTTCTTGCTCCCCTGGTCTTTGGATGCCTGCGTCTGCTGTAAACGAGGCAGTGTCAATCAAGGTGAAAGAAGAGGGAGGAGAGCGCTCGCAAGCCGTAGAGAGCCTTCCAGAAGGCGTTTAGGGGGCCCCTTCTGCGCTTTTCGTTGCTTGGAGTAGTGCTTTTTTAACGGATTAAACAGCTCTAAGCGGCAAACTCCTTTTGTTTTTAGCGCACAGGCGACCTTTGGGATGCTAGACCGATGCGGCAGGGGCTTCAAGCTACCAACCTGCCATATATATATATATATATATATATATATATATATATATATATATATATATATATATATATATATGGACCGCAGTCGGTTACCAGACACGAGGCGAATGTCAGGATTGCTTGCCTGCAACACCACCGTTTTTTTTCGGGGAGGGGAGAGAAAGTTTTCCTGCTACGTCTCAGAGGCACTAGGGAAGAGCTGCTGGCGGTATGCGCCAGCGCCGTTGCCGCGTGTCGTACCCCTGTTCCTCGAAAATAGCAGCATCTACACACGCGGCAGCAACCCGTTGGTGGCCACACGTGCACCAGCAGCAGCAGCAGCACGTGCACCAGCAGCAGCAGCAGCACGTGCACCAGCAGCAGCAGCAGCACGTGCACCAGCAGCAGCAGCAGCACGTGCACCAGCAGCAGCAGCAGCACGTGCACCAGCGCAGCAGCAGCAGCAGAGGCGGAAACAGGAGGTCGTGCAAAAGAAAAGGATCCAACGCAGATATATACAGCGTCTAAAAACAAAGAGAAACAAGTGGATCTGCAGACATCGGCAGCCGCACCAACGCGTGCAGCGGCTGCAACGTGTTTGGTGGGGATGCAGCAAATTGCAGCGGCACTGCCCCTGTAGCAAAGAGAGACAGCAGCAGCCTAGCGTGCACGCCGCAGGTCCTGCTACTTGACGACTACGCCTAATACTGGCACGTGAGACTACCGCTGCCGCTGACGCAGAGAGGGGAAGAGAGCATTAGCGCTTCTTCAACCCCCTCCTCCCTCCCTTGAATCCGATTCGAAAAACGATCACAAGGAAGGCGTCAAGCAGAAACCCCTGCCAAGCTCGTCTAGCTGCTGTCAGACTCTGACGACTGCTCTTCTGCAGTTTCCCCAGCAGAAGCCTCCGCTTCTTCCTCCTTCCCTGCCGCTCCAGATTCTGCAGCATCCCTGCTTTCGCGAGTCGAGTCAGCTGCTTCTGCCGCTGGCGGTGCAAGCTCCAAAGATTCGAGCGTGATGCTGTCTTCCGGCCTTCCCTACGCAGACACATGCACACAATGCAACGCAGCAGCACCCCTACGATGCGGCTTTTCAGAGGCAAGGAGGGCAGCGGCTAGTGCCTTCTGCAGAGGAAGAACGCCACATCAGCGGCGAAAAACGCCTGCAGGACTGTATGCCGCAACGCCAAAAGTACAACGCTGCAGACTAAGAAGCTGCCGCCGCTGCTAGCGCCAGCCAGCCGCTGCCGAGGCAGCCGCTGCCGAGGCAGCAGAACAAGCCCTTGCTCTAGCTGATTGCGCACCATGTTCTGCAGGAAGCTCTATGGCGTGTTTTTGTTGCTGCGGCGAGCAAGGGTGGAGAATCTGCTACCTCGATAAGTGGAAAAAGAGGGGCATGTTCCCGCCCATCAGTCTCACCGTGCAATCTGCCCGAAAGCTGGTTTGTCTGCAACACGCAAATCCCCACTTTTGAAGTGCAGAGCTGTAGTAAGAACCCCATACTGAAGTATGATTGCCGGGGTGGACGTCCTCTTCATATTTGGACTTTGTGAGAGTCCTTTCGCGGCCACGCAACACCCTAAAAAGCAGCGTCACACATGCGAAGCAGATCGATACACCACACGCTGACGCCGGGTGTACAGACACCCCAACTCTGGCAACAGGTACCCGTCACAGGGCATACACGCAGCAACGCACGGGGCTGGAAAACAGCTCCGTACATGAATAAAAATGCAGATATATATAATAAATATATATATTATGGTCATTCATAGATATCTATTCATAGGGATAGTAGCACGTGGGAGAGGAAAAGAAAGATCAGCGACACGACGCAGGCAAGATACGAAACAAGACTGCGGTGTCAGGATGAAGGGAAAGAGGCATCAAGAAAGCGAGAGAGAGACAACACCCCTACTAGGAGGCACCCCAGATTAAGAGACACTTTGCGCGTCCATTGATCGTTTAAAAAACTGGGAAAAATGCTTACCGTCCATCTCGAGAATATTCGGCGTATGCCTCCGTCTGGGCATAAAGAATGCGGGGATCCGTTTGCAGATGCTCTACACCTCCATATTTGACGATTACACTGCTCTGCTTCTTCGCCTCCAATTCCTGAAAACACGCATAAAAAGCCCCCCCGAGGCATCGTGAAGGACAGCCAAACTCACGACGAGGCAAGAGGCACACACAAACCCCTGACAGAGATGTATTGGAGCAGAAAGAGAGAGGGAGGCAGGAGACGAAACAGAGACAAACGAACACCGACAGACAGAGAAAGAGACAGACTACAGACAGAGAGACTCGCACTGAAAGCGAGACAAGATGCAGCATCGCCAACAGCCACTATAACGAGAGGCAGCAGCGTACAGTCTTCTTCTTCTGATGCTCTTGAAACAGAAACTCCAACTGCGTCGGCTGCGCGTTGAAATGAACATTCTGCCCATGTTTGTAAGCTTCCCATGCAAAGAGCTGAAACAAAACCACAAACACACATACAACATCCATGCACATGCATACATGCAAGCACATACAGACACACATGCACATGCATACATACATGAGCATACATACATACATGAACATACATACATACATGCACATGCATACATACATGAGCATACATACATACATGAACATACATACATACATGCACATACATACATACATGCACATACATACATACATACATGCACATACATACATACATGCACATACATGCATACATACATGCATGCACATACCTACATACATAGAGACAAATTCGTAAAAGTGCGCATTCATAGATACATGTAGGGATGCACATATGCAGACACATAGACATATCCATACATGTGCATGTCTATGTTTATGTGTGTGCCTACAAAAGCATACATGCAAAGGTATTTCGAGACAGTGACGCCCCTAAAGCTGTCTGGTCGTAGCCTCATCAAACACGTTTCCTCTCCTCCATCCATGTGTACAGGGAAATGTATATGCAGACACATGTACATGTGTCTGCATATATGAACATACATGTATACACGTGTATATCTACATATATATACATACATGTGTATGCGTGTATATATCTATGTGTATATATATATATATACATGTATTTATATATATATATATATATTCACATGTACATACATGCATGCATCATATACATATACATGTGTGGATCTGGCACTGTCTAAAGACCTCTGGGGATCTCTCTTTGCCTCGAAGTGTTTTTTTTAGCAGAAAGCTCCAGAAGGTTGCGAAGAAGCAGAATAGCGCGTGCAGAACGGCGGAGAAAGCGTGGAGTTTTTTTGAAATGAGGAGACGAAGGAGGGACCTCTGGCTTGCGAGCAGTGCAGTGCAGTCAGACCTGAAGCTGTTGTGTTGCTTTAACTTCTCCAGCTTGGAGGAGCGCGTTGTCTCCGCGGAAGGGCCCCCTCTGCGCTTCGGAGAGGTGTTTGAAGGGATCGTCTCTCATGCTTCTGCTCTTGGGATCGTAGAAGGCGGAGCCGATATCCAAGTTGAGGAGATATTTGGCAGTATCCTCGCGGATGCGGAGATCTCGCGTGTTGATCCGACTCCGTTCGTCTTTGCACGCCACGGGCGCAGAAGTCTTGTCGAAGTCGTGTAGCTTGACGTCTTCATCATCGGATCCGTCTGTGTCTGTATCGGTGTCTGTATCTGTGTCTGTATCGGTGTCTGTGTTGGCGTCGTCTGTGTCAGTGTTCGTGTCAGAAGTAGCGCCTTCTTTCTCGCCGTCCGCAGTTTTGGCTTTGGTAATCGCATTAGCCCCTTTTTCCCCATCCTCGTGGGGGGTGTCTCCTCCCGCAAAGGCGGAGACGGCAGAAGCAGCAGCCGCAGCCGCTTTCTTGGCAGCCTTGGCTGCCTCCCGCTGCTGCTGCTTCTTGAGTCGCGCTTCGAGCTTCTGCTGCTTCCTCAGGCGTCTCTGCTGCTGCCTCTTCTTCTTCTCGGCAGCAGCTGCTGCGGCGGGCCCCTGCTGCTGCAGCAGCTGCTGCTGCTCGAGTGCTTTCTGCCGCTTTCGCTCGAGTTGCGCCAACTCATGTTCGCGCACAAGCCACTTAAAATCGTCTCCCGTATAGCCGCCATACCGATCTCTCTTGGCGTCATACGTCAGCTTGGGCGTCTCTGCAATAATCTCATCAGGTGCCAAATCTTTGTGCGTGTACTTCGCCTTCTTGGCTCGCGGTCTGTCTGTACAGTCCTTCTCCTTGTGCGTCATGCTGCCGCAGTTTCCGCATGCGCCTTTGAGGAAGCGAAGCTTCTTAGCGGCTGCCGCCTCCTCGATCACTCCGTGTCTGTGCCAAGTGTGAATCGAGGCGCGCTTCTCCTCCACAAACCGCTGGTGCTTCAGACCAGGCTTATCCTGATTCAAATACCAAGGCGCCTTCGAAATGTACTGAGGAATATGCGGATTGATCTCCTTGCCATCTGCATCCTTCTCTGCAGGGGCAGTGCCTGCTTTGCGGGCTTCTTCCAGCTCGCGTGCGCGGCGCGCTTCCTCCCGCGACTGAAACGCAGCCGATGTTACTGAAGACATCTTCTTCTGCCTCCTGAGACTTCGGTTCGCCAGCCGAGCTGCTCAAGCGCCGTCTCCCCTGCTTTCTTCGCGCCACACACACTCACTCAGAGAGGACTGCCGCAGCAGTCGGAGTGGCTGCTGCTGCTGCTGCACTAGAAGGTGTGACTTCGGAAAAGCAGCCAATGAGCGCTCGCTGCTGCCAAAGATATCAGCAACGAGAAGATCGCCGATATCGCAGCTGCTGCGGGGTCAGCTTCTTGTCCCCTTCCCCCCCCTTGTTGCAGCAAGGGGGAAGGAAGGGGGCCTCTCCAACTGCTGCTGCTGCTGGAGCTGCTGCTGCTGCATCCGGAGAAGAGGCTGCACTTCGCGAGAAAACTATCCACCCAAGAGTAGCCTGCCAGGAGAGGCGGGAAGTAGAAGGATGGATGCGTTGCAGCTGCCTCTACTGCCGCCGCTGCTGCTGGGCTACGCAGGGGCCTCTGCTTGCGGCAAGCGCGCGTGCCAAATCCGCCTGTGATATCGTTTTTTCCCCTGCTCTTTCAAGAAACATGCGTATAAACAGAAACTAATATTGCGATTTGAGCAAGAAGGCTTATCGCGACTAGTCTGCTGCGCCTAAGCCGCGGCAAGGCTCCTCAAGTGCTGCTGCTGCTGCCATGGCTGCCGCTGCTGCTGCTGCTGACGTGGTGTTGCTGCAGCGGCAGCAAAAACGCGCAGGCGCAGCGGTACTGCAGCACTGGAAAGTAAGCCTGAACCCGTTCGGAATTTATTGTTGAGCTTGTCTCTGGTTTAATTTTCTCATGGTGTGGAGTCCTCGGGGAAAGCAGAACGGCTTGGGTGTCAAGACAGAGGTACTCTCGGAGGCAGGAGAAGCACCTCGGGCAGCAGTCGCCAACAGAGGTTTTGGCATTGCGTTTGCGGAATTGTCAAGGTCTTTCGCGCTGCTGTTGACACGATCGAGGCATTAGCGTTCATTTCAACGCCAGAAACAGAAGAAGCAACATCCACGGCAGGTGTAGCTGCCGCTCTACACCTAACAGGCGTGGCTCACGAGCTAGGACTCGCTGCATCTGTAGAGGAAAGCGGGCGCCTTCTCACTGATAATGCGAAGCGAAGTCCAATGAACGGCCAATATGTAGCAGGTGTGGCTTGATCTTCCATGCAGCAGCAGCGGGGTGCAGGTTTGAGGTGTCTGTCCACTGCAAACCAGTGGTCTGCTGCCCTTTACTGGCACCGCCGAACCTCCCTAGGGCTTTCTAGGCTGCGAATTCATTTGAACGGCTTGGAAACACGGCCAGAGACGGAGAAAGTGTCGCAGTAGCCGTCGTAAGAGGCATTGCAGTGGCGACGGCGTGCGCAGGAGCCGCAGAAGACAGGTGATCCTAAGGCATAGATATAGTAGGCACACACTGGGAGGCCTTCGGGTGCCCAAATATGTTATATCCTGCATGAAACTGCTAAGGGGGGGCTGAAACACCCCTACGCCCGAGCCACTAAGAAATCGCTGCCTCGTCGGTGTTTCTTACGCTCATCAGCCTGATCATCATCATCATCATCTTCATCATCATCTTCATCATCATCATCATCATCATCATCATCATCAGCATCATCATCTTCATCTTCATCATCATCATCAGCAGCAGCAGCGCAACTCGATAGCGAGCCATGTCTGGAGCTAGGGCTCCCCTGCTGCCGGCTACAGCGTCGTGTGCCTCAGTGCAGGCAGCCGAGGAAGGCGCAGTGGAGCGGAAGTCTGTGACACCGTTTGTTTCCTCCGCTGCAGGGCAGCAGAGGAAGCAATCCACTTCCTTGCGGAGAGACGCTTGTCTGCGTTTACGGCAAGCTATCGGTGGCTGCAGCGAGGGCTTTAGTTTGCTGCGTCTGTGCGTTGAAGTGTATGCACTTGGAGTATGGGACGCCCTCTCAGTCCACCGATGCACATTTTTCTTGCGTGGCTGTCGTGTGATTAGACGGCGTGCGATCAAGTGTTTCCTGCTGAACGGTCTCTTGTACATTGGGCTTGCGATTCTTTTTTCACAGCTGCTGATTCCAGTTGTGTGCCTCTTGGTGTCTCTGCTGCTGCGTCTGCTCGGCCTGCTTGGGGGCTTTGCTGCCGCTGCTGCTGCATTTCCCTCGGCAGACACTGTGGCGCTTTCCTTGAAGGCAGCAGCTGCAACAGCGGCGTCGGGAGCGTTGGCGGGAGAAGTGTGGGCTGCAGCTGCAACTCCCGCGGTAGAGACAGTGGGGTGGCTGCTGTTGCGCTACGGGGTCCTCTTCCCCCTCTACGCATGCAGCAGTGTGTCTTCCTTTTTGTGGTACTTGGATGTCGCCGAGCATGCGACCGCCATGCTGCAGCAGGAGGAGGCAGCAGCAGCAGCAGCAGCAGTAGAGGGGGCAGTGGTGGAAGCCTCCGGCAAGGCGCCCGTCGCAGCAGGCAGGAGGAAGAGAGCTGTCGATACACTGCAGCAGCAGCAGCAGCAGCAGCAGCAGCAGTTGTTGTGTCCGTACTGTTACCCTCAGGGTGCTGTGTGGCGCAGTGTAGCGACTTCGCCACTGTCGATGACGTCGCCACAAGCAGCAGCAAGCGAAAGTTTGCGCATAAACTCTCCTGAAGCAGCGCTGCTGCGACTCATGCTGCAGTACGTGTGGTGGTGTCAAAGCTCCTTGCTGCTGCCTCTGATACCCTTCGTGGGAAGGCCGCTTTCCCTTCTCAACTTCTGCTGGATGTTTTCGTTCTCTTGCTTCGGATGGAGACGCAAGCCTCACGAAAGCTGCGTCACAGACGCCGACTTGCTGCAGCAGCTGTCGCAACCGGACTGCTTGCAGCAGCGCTGGAGAACAGCCTGGTGCAGCAGCAGCAGCGGCAGCGGAGAAGAGGGGGGAGGAGAAAAAATGCCATGGGCGACGGCGTTAATGACGCGCATGCGGTCGCTGCCTCAGCGAACGCCGCCACATCTGCAGCAGCAGCAGCAGCAGCAGCAGCAGCAGCAGCAGAAAGCGAAGCCATCCCTTTCCCCCCCTGCTTGCGCGCACGCGTTGACACACAACCTGCTGCCACATAGTCGTCAGCCTGCGCACCAGCAGGAGACGCTTGAGGAGTCTTTATCGGCGTTTGAGAGGCACTGGATGTACTTTGCTGGCTTTGGCACACCTGTCTGCCTTATCCACATGCTGGCTCCGGAGGCGATTGATCTAAGCGTTGCGGCAGTCTTGCTGCCACTCTCGATTCTCCTGGCACTAAGAGCCCACCCTGTCCGCTGCAGCAGCAGCAACCCCCAGCAGCAACAGCAGCAGCTGCTGCTGCTCCATCGCCACAAGTACGCTGCAAGACTCCCCATCTTCCTCCCCGTTCAGCTTCTCACGCAGTGGACGTTGGCATGCCTTCTGCAACGTGTTTCTAGGCACTTCCATCGTCCGCATTCCAAAAGCAGCAGCAACACCAATAATAACAGCAGCAACACCAATAATCACAGCAGCAACACCAATAATAACAGCAGCAACAACAATCACAGCAGCAGCAGTGACAGCAGAAACAGCAGCTGTTGCCGTAGACGGCCAGCAACAGCAACAGCAGCCCCAGTTGCAGCAACAGCGACAGCAACAACAACAACAGCCACGAAAATGACAGCAACGCCTATGGCTGCTGCTGCTGCTGCTGCGATCGGAGGAACTCCAGCTGCACGGCGGCTGCATGCACAGCGCAGTTTGCAGCAGCAGCAGCAGCAGCAGCAGCACACGCCGTCCGTCGCCCCTCTGCAGCTTCAGCTGTACGGACACCCCTGGTCTCATCCTTTAGACGAAGGCGACTTTGCAGCGGCCGCTGCAGCAGCAGCAGCTGAGGCGTTCCGGCAGCATTTGCAGCAGAAAGAGGGGTGCTCGCAGCGTGCTGCCGCAGTGGAGCTTCCCCGCCGGCAGCGACAGGCGCATGCAAAGCAGAGCGCAGAAGAGACGCATGCGCATGCACCGAGGCATCAGAGCAACGTGAACTCCGTGCCGATGCGAATGGAGCAGCGTGAAGGCCGCCTCCGTTGCCGACGGCAGCAGCAGCAGCAGCAGCAGCAGCAGCAGCAGCAGCAGCAGTGTGCGCGGCAGGAGGGGGCATGGGAGGCGCAGTGGAATCTTGTGCATAGGCGTTCTGCTGCGTTGAGCGACGAACAGGCAAACAACCGCAGAGGCAGCTGGCAGCGTATTGCTGCAGGCGCTTTGAGGATGTTATGGCCAGCGCGGCAGCAGCGGCTGCAGCGTCGCATGCAGCAGCAGCAGCGTCTTTACGGCGTTGTTATGCGCCCTCAGCCGCAGCAAGTGGTGTCGCTGCTGCAGCAGGAGCCGCTGCAGAGGCGCCACTTGCAGCAAGTCAACTTGCTGTACAGGAGAAATCACCCTCAGCATGCAGCCTCCGCAGCGCAGCATCCGCGGGAAGCCTTTCTTCACACGACTTCCCACGAGCTGTCTCCCTCTCGACAGCAGCAGGGACGGCGTCAGCTGCAGGGGTTGCTGCTGCAGCATTGGAAACAATGCCAGTAAGCAACTGCAGCAGCAACTGCGCGTTTCGCTCTTGTTTCGCGCAGTGGTCGGATTTTTCCAGCCTGTGCGGCTGTTTCTTCCCGAGAATGGAGGTTGCGCGCTCTGCACTGCAGTGTACATACATACAAAAACCTCGCGAGCCTTACCCAACACCTGTGACGGCAACCATACGCCAGAAAATCATGCATCGAACAAGAGAAAACTGGGAGAGGGAGGGGGCTTTCGCTGCTGCGTTTTGCGTCTTCTGCTGCTGCCTTCGACTGGGGCCCTTTAAATTGCGTAACGCACATAAAGACATAGGTGTAGGTATCTATATATACATCTACATATATATATATATATATATATATATATATATATATACTCATACTGCACAGGAGCCCATTCTCCTGCCTGTTGTTTGCTTGCTATTGCTATTTCCATTGCTGTTGCTATTTTTACGACTATTTTTATTGCTATTGCTTGCTACTACTCTGTTCTGCACCCTGTATGGTGCCCTCCCTCGCAGACAGCTGAGTGTAACGGACTGGTAGTGTACGCGCCTCCCTCCCAGCCTTCCCTGCCTTACCCTGCTCCTCCCCCCTCTCCGCCAGCCTCTATAAACTTGACAGGAAAACTGGCAGCGACATGGGCAAAAATTATGCCGAAAAAAAAGGTTTCCTTCACACGCTTCACATGCATTCGTAAAAAAATTTGCAGGCAGGTGGAGGTGCTCCGCGAGGTGAGGGGCCTCCTGTTTTTGCTGCTCTTGTGCTGCTGTTGTTTTGATACATATACATATATATATACATATATATATATATAAGCTGCAGCACATCGGCAGGTTGCGTTCGAGGCGAGTAGAAGCCTCCCGAAACGCAGCAGTTCTTTTAACTGCAGTCCTTCTAAGAGTCGCGGAGAGGAGGCGTTTGCTGCATTCCCTCTCCCACCGCCTCGAAAGGGGGGCTACTGCTAGACTTGTGTATTCTTGACGCGAAAGGGCAGCGTCCCTCTTGAAAAAGCAACACACTGTGCGGGCAGAAGAGGGAGAGAAGCTGTCTGGCTCCTTTGAAAGCGTCATGCTGACGAACGAGAGCAGCGCCTGCTGCCGCTTGGGTGCGAAGAGGACAGCTTTCCCAGAGCAGGAGCTGCTGCTGCTGCTGCAAGTGTTGCTGCTGCTGTTGCAAGTGTTGTTGTTGCTGGAGCTGCCATCCACTGGGAGACGGCAGCAAGTCTGGCGCACTCAAGAAAGCTCCAAGTGGAGAGGCTCTGCACAGCAACTTGAAGGGGCAAAGCTCCCAGCGTTTCGGCTGCACTTTCTGCGGCTGAGTGTGAGGCTTCATGTGATATCCAGCTAGTCCAAGCAGCAAGAGGATATACCAGAGAGAATGTTTAAAGAAAGGACCTGCTGTAGCCTTGCAGGGGTCTCTGTTGAAGCGCGAGAGCAGCATGAGCAGATACACATTAGCAGGCAAGCTGCTAACCGGGTACATCCACGATGTAATGCCTCCCCACGCGGCGAGCTGCAGGAGCAAACAGATACAAAATGATACAAAAGGATGCACAAAGATACACAGATACGAAGATGCACAAAGATATACACATACAAAAAGATACACAAAGATATGCAGATACAAAGACACACAGATATGAGGATACACAAAGATATGCAGATACAAAAGGATACACATATATACACAGATACAACGATACAAAGGTACACACAAACACAGACAAAAAGATACACCGATATGAAGATACACAAAGATATACAAATAAAAAATATACATATATATACAGATACAAAGGTACACACAAACACAGACAAAAAGATACACCGATATGAAGATACACAAAGATATACAAATAAAAAATATACATATATACACAGATACAAAGGTACACACAAACACAGACAAAAAGATACACCGATATGAAGATACAAATATACACACAAACACCTATACCCATATGCAAAGATACGCGGATACAAAAGGATGCAAAAAGACACACCTAGATACACACAAACACAGATACCCAGACTCTCGGAGAGAGGAAAGCGGCACTCAGAGAAACGCGATCTCGAGCTAAATGCAGCAATCGTCTCTTGAGGAGTTTCATGAAGCATCCTGCATGCCCCGAAGGCACACGCGCCACTTTCTACCGTCTGGAGGAGAGCTCTTTTCCCCTGAATGATTTTTTTCAAGACTGCCTGGAGTTTTGTCGCTCACAACAGCCTTCTCCTCACCAGGGGAGCAGCGGCAAGCGCAGCCGAGTATCGATTGCACAAGCCCAACAGCGTGGGGAGGTCTCCCATGCCTGGCAATCCAAACATTTTGTAGCCTCCTCGAACGTAATCCGCGGAGAAGAGGAAGGCAAGCGCGTAAAAATGCGGAAATTGCCACAGATATTGCAGTCCAAACAGCAAAATAGATCCTCCCGACAGCAGTGGACCCTGCGTATTTCACGCAGGAGCGACGAAGACTGTCACAGAAACGCCGTTGCGCTTTCCCCCGCTTACCGCTTGGTGGAGTGTCTTGCCAGCGACTCGGCGACAAGCCAAACGACGCGCAGAGAATGGGTGAAAGAAAAACGGAGGAGAGGCAGAAGGAGCAGAGGAGCGGAGTGGAGAGGTCTAGAGAAGCCTGTTCTCTCGCGTGCAGAAACTTGCGTTAGCAATCGAGGAAGAGACAAATGAACAGATTGATAGACAAATAGATGGAGACTGTGCCATGGAAAGCACAGTGAGCCTAGCAGCAGTTGAAGGGTGTGTGTGCGTGTTGATGCAAATAAATGAATATATATATATATATATTCATGTATACATCTAGCCAGACGCTGCAAATATCCTCCAAAGCAGCAGACTTACACTTGCAGCAGACCATCCGATGAGCAGCGGGAGGGCACCGACTACCGATCCAATATGTGTGCAGTAAGGATTTCGAGTTTTGAGTTGCGTGTACACGCCAGCGTAGAGAGCGATGGTAAGCAGTGCGAGGGCAGCCGCAAAGGAAGATGGAAAGCAACAGTGCAGCAGAGAGACACCCGACATCCCCGAAGTAATTGCGAAAGCAACTGCTGACGAGGGTCGGATGTCTCCTAGAGGCAGCGGTCTAAAGAAACACATACACACGCAGTTGTGCAGACACGACAATTTAACGCACATTTATAGATATTCACATACCCATACAAATCGTACACACAGATGTAGACACACATAGACTTTTAGCCACCTGGAAGAAGGAATTTGCACTTTAAAATATACATAAATGCATACATATATATTTATATATATTTGAGTGAGATACAGGCAGTATACACACGCGCTTACAGAAAGGCCATGCCTCCTTGCCAGCCTTGCTCAAAGAAGGCGATGTAGACATACATATAGATATTAGATATATGTACATTAGATATATATATGTATGTGAGACGGCAACGCAGCCAGAAAAGCGGGCAGCATGCAGCATGTCGTGTATTTGCTGCTTTGGTTTTTGTAGGTGTTGTTCGTGTTGCAGGTGCTTGCCTGTGCTTAGTCCTCAGCATCTTGGCATCGAGGTGTCTTTCGACGAGCTGATTGAGCGAATTCGCACATGCTGAGGAGAGGAATACACCTGTGAAGAGAGCAGCCAAAGCTCCAACGTCTGTCGCTACTGCCACCAAGGAAGCTGCTAGAGAGGCTTCTGACGCTGCTGCTGCAGATGTTGCTGCTGCAGATGTTGCTCCTCCTAAAGCAGCTATGGAGGCAACGGCAGGAACGGCAGGCGCGGTGGCTGCCTGCTGAGCAGCAATAAAGCCGCCAAGAGAAGAGAGCGCAACTAAAACACTGAGACGCCCTTTGGAGAGTTTCTGAAGGCATGCAAGCACAGACAGCATCACAGGCAAGCACAGACAATTACACAGCACAATGCGCAGCGGGGGGGCGGTTAGAAGTCTGGAAAATAACCAGTAATAGGTGGAAGAAGTGCGCGCATGTAAGAGAAGAGTAGTCGTTCAGCAGCGAACGCCGTCGTATGGCCATAGAGAATCGATGTGTGTAGGCGCATGCATGCAAGAAAGAGGGCTTTAAGCGGTTGGTATGCAAGCAGCAGAGGTGCAGCACACACACACACACACACACACACACACACACACACACACACACACACACACACACACACACACACACACACCCAGTACGAAAACGCAGACTTCCTCAGCCGTTTCTTGAGAAAGGCGGAATTTTGAGGAGCGACGCTTGGAATCGCAGCGACATTGGCGGCAGTTGAGGGGGGGGGTGATGCTGCCGACACTGATATGGAAGCTGCTGCTGAGGTTGCTTCAGAGAGACTGGCGTTCTGGGGAGTAGCTGAGGCGCTGTTGTAGAGACAGCGGTGAACCGGCTCGTGTGTAGAACCTTTGGCTGTTGCTGCATTTCTAGCAGCGGCAAAAACTTGCTGCAAAGAGGGGGATGGAGCTGCCCCTAAAGCCACGAACGATGCAGAGGGAGGCAAGTGTTTGGATTTGCTGGAGATGGAGAGGCGGAGAGGGCTGCAGCTTTGTTGGCGTCTGAGGCAGGCTGTGCTCTCGGTATGCATGCGCGCGTGGTTCTTTGCATGTATCTCTGCATCTGCATGCAGAGATGCAGGGAGGCTTGTTCCGTTGCTGGCTTTGGAGGGGTGACTCGCCAGAAGCAGCTGCAGACGGCAGCTGCATGCGGAGAGTGCATGGTGAGGCTTCTTCGGAGGCGTCCACACATGCTTCTCCAAAAGCAGCCTCGTCATGCATGCAGCGGCAAAACTCTGCCCTTCGGGATGTCGAGCGACACAGCGCCACGCGCTCTGCCGCAAGAAGCCACGCGCATGCATGAGGTGAAGAAGGCAGCTGGCTTTGCGTTGCAGCAGCAGGAGAAAGAGGGCCCCCCTCTAGGGGAGCTGCAGCAGCAGCAGGAGCAGCAGCAGGAGCAGGAGAGATTTGAGGCAGAGCACCCTGCGCCATGAGAGGCGCAAGCCTCACGAGGAAGGCGAGAAATCTGGCAGGCAGAAAGGCATGCAGGCAGAAAGGCAGCAAAAAGAGCAAAAAAGGCGGGAGGCAGTGCCTCTTTTCCCGTGATGTCGCTGCTTCTCGCGGCGCGAGGAGTGCTGCAGCGGCAACCCCTTCTGCTGTGCCGGCAGAGGGGGCTGCGAAGGCAAGAATTACGAGGCGGTGAGCTCCCAAGTCATGTCAAAAGGCGAAAAACAACAATTCGTCAATCCTCCGCAGTCCTCCGCCACTCCTGCACGGCATGCAGCAGCAGCAGCAGCAGCAGCTGCAGCAGCTGCATGCGCTGCAGCAACCGACGGGGCTGCAGGAAGCGCCTTGGAAGGCTGTAGCTCCCCGCTGCGTTAAAGTCCTCTAAATGTTTAAAAGCCTTTTTATACGCATGCAACTTGAGAATAAATTGGGCTCTAACATGTTGTGCACTCACAGACAGACACACTTCAAACAAGGGGGAAGGGGGGGGCCCCCTAGTCCTCTGATTTTTTGGCGAGCTGCTGCCCCGTGTTAGGGGCCCCCCCCCTCCCCCCCCTTTTTCTGATCCTTGCCGGAGTGTCTTGGCTTTGCTTTTCGGAATCGCTTTTCTCGCCTCCTTTTAGGCGAAAAGTTCACCCAGAGAAATTTCATTCCTCTGCATGCAGTTTGACAAGCGCGCGGAGGAAGCCACCCTGGCTGGGGTTCCCTCCCTTCCCCTCTCCCCGTGTTTGACTTCTGCTGTCTCTACACCATCACCCCTTATTCGCCAGCCTCAGGAGCCTTCTTCTTGGGGGCAGGCATTTGCGGGAGTTGCTCTCCCTCGACGAAGGAGCAGCTTCCTGCAAAGAAGAGACCTTCTTGTTGCTCTCTTCTTCCCGCCTTCTCTCCTCCCTCCTTCTTCTTCTTCCTGCCTTCCCTCCTTCTTCTTCTTGCTGCCTTCTCTCCTTCTTCTTCTTCCTGCCTTCTCTCCTCCCTCCCTCTTCTTCTTGCTGCCTTCTTCTTCTTGCTCCCTTCTTGCTGCCTTCTCTCCTCCCTCCTTCTTCTTCTCCCTGCCTTCTCGCCTCCCTCCTTCTTCTTCTTGCTCCCTTCCCTCCTCCTTCTTCTTGCTGCCTTCTCTCCTCCCTCCTTCTTCTTCTTGCTGCCTTCTCTCCTCCCTCCTTCTTCTTCTCCCTGCCTTCCCTCCTAAGAAGGGAGGCACTGTGTGTACAGCAGCAGTCCGATGGCTACCCTGCGCTGTCTGTGGATCATCGGCAGCAGCCGATGCGTCGCCTGCGAGGGAGAGGGGCCCCCCGAGGGGCCCCCCGATGCCCCCTTCGAAGTTTTGCATCACAAAACTCCCTTGCCTCTGCCCTCCTGGAAGAGGCTCCCCCCTTCAAGAAGAGCTCCTCGCAGCACTAAGAGCGCAGCAACGGCGGAGACAGCTGCGCGCGATGAAAGAAGCGGAGTTACTGGGCAGCAGCACGTGCAGCAACTACAGCAACAACAGCAACAACAACAACAGCAGCAGCAGCAGCAGCAGCAGCAGCAGCAGCAGATTTCCAACCCCCCAACGGCCATCCCTGCAGTGCGACTGCAGCCTCATACGGCTCCTGCAAATAGCAGCGACACATCCACTGGAGCAACTTCTGCTGTCACTACAACAACTCCTGCTGCTGCTACCGCTGCAGCAGTAACAGCAGCAGCAGCTGCTGCTGCTGCTGCAGGTACAAATGCTGACTCTAGACAACGCCAGCCTTCTTCTGTCACCGAGGCAAGACGCGCAGCTGCTGCGACTGAGAAGACGAATTTTCGCATAAAGCAGATCTCCGAAAATGTAGCGGATGCTGAGGAGGGAGCACCAACTCGCTGCAGCAGTTGGTTCCCCGCTGCAGTGGCAGCGGGAGGCTTTGCAGAAGAATCAGCCTCCGTTGTCTTTGACGAAGGACGAACAGCTCGCATGCTTTTCTCGCGCGTCTTTTACTCAGCAGAGTCTCGATGGCAGCGACTTGCTGTGAGGCAACTGCGGCTGTCGCTGCTGTTGCCGCTGTACCTGTAGCTGCTGTTGCTGTTAATGCTGTTTCTCGTTCCCCACATAGACACACGTACATACAGAGAGAGAGAGAGAGAGGCAGACAAAGACACACAGACAGAGACAGAAAGGAAGAGACTGTCTTTCATGCAGTGGTGCCTTGGCAGGTGATGCTTTAAGCGCTTTCGCTGCAGACAAAATCTTGTTAGTAACTTCCACATAGAGGAGCAGCGGGAGGCTTTTGCCAAGCTGTCTCTGGAAGGTTGGGGGCATGCAGAAGGGCGGCGTGCGACAGGCAACTTGTGAAGTCTTTCGAAGAGTCTCTCTAGAATGGAGAGTTCTTTTCCGACGTCTGCCGCTGTTTGGCTGCTGGTGTGTTTTGTGTGTGTCGATGCTGCACAGCGTGGACTATACACCCCCCTCCCTACGGATGCAGCTCTCCTCGGCTGCTTTTTCTCGCAAGTGCTGCAGCCTCCCCAAGACGACGTGACATGTTGCGCCTCTGCTTCTTGCTCCGCTTCTTGTTCTTGCTCCGCTTCTCGTTCTTGCTCCGCTTCTCATTCTTGCTCCGCTTCTTGTTCTTGCTCCGCTGCTCGTTCTTGCTCCGCTTCTCGTTCTTGCTCCGCTGCTCGTTCTTGCTCCGCTGCTCGTTCTGCCTCTTGCTCTTGCTCTGCTTCTGCCGCCGTGGATGCAAGCACGCGGCTGCCTTCGCAACACGCGACGCAGTCGCCGCCGTTGCAGTTCTTTTTTGATCGACAGCAAGAGCTTTTCTTCAAGGAGCTTACATGGCCATGTGGTCCCCTGGTGCTGCTGGCAATTCCGCGCACTTTTCGGGGGGATAATTTTTCGCCGCGAGGAGGGGGAGGCACAGCGCTTCTTTCGCAGCCACTGCAGTCTGCAGAGCGGGCGAGGAGCTCCTCGACAGCCACGGCGGCAGGAGCTGTCTGCGCCGAAGCCGCAGCAGCAGCCTCGAAACGCCTCCTCGAGCGGGGAAGCGACGGGAGGCTGCTCCCCAGCGCGAAGCTGATCGCCGCAGTGACAGCTGCTGCCTCGGCTGCTGTCGCAGCCTCCGCATTCCTCTGGCCGATTGCCTTCGTGAGGAGACAGTACACTGGAAACAGCGAAGGGGATCGCTGCAGCTGCGGCTGCGCCTGCATCACTGAACTTTTCGCCGTCGCTGCACTAGCCTTAGACGAAGATATACACCCCGAAGACACCTTACCCCACAAGGCACAGTGCTTCCACTCTCTGCAGGTGATTTTTAGTGGCAGAATTGTCTGCTGCTGCTGTTTCTGCCGGTTGTAATGAGGGCAGTTGGACTGACAAGCGTGGTAGGAGTGCTGACAAAAGTGGTCGTCGTAGTGCTAACGCTGCAGCCGATGTCTCTTATGCTGCTGTTACTGACTCCCTCTCTCGTACTGTCTCCGCATTTTGCTGCTATTACTGCCTCCCTCTCTCTTCCTGCCTCTGCATTTTGCTGCTATTACTGCCTCCCCCTCTCTTACTGTCTCTGCTGCTGCTATTGCTGCCTCCCTCTCTCTTACTGTCTCTGCTGCTGCTATTACTGCCTCCCCCTCTCTTACTGTCTCTGCTGCTGCTATTGCTGCCTCCCTCTCTCTTGCTGCCCCCCTCTCTCTTCCTGCCTCTGCTGCTGCTATTGCTGCCTCCCTCTCTGCTACTGCCTCTCTCCCTTAGTCTCTCTTCTGCAGCTGCAGGAAGCCGCGATGCTTGCTCTGATTGGATGACTTCTTCTTCGCATGCGTTTTGCCTCCGCTGCTGCTGCTGCTGCAGACTACCGCTGCCTTTGCCTTCCTCGACGATCTGCTGAGCCTCTTTATTGCCACGCTTCCTCCAGCCGCTACTCTGGCAGGAGCTGCGGCAGAACCAACTGCAGGAGTAGCTGCAACAGCAGCACTGGGGAGAGGGGTGCGTCTGTCTGGAGCCACTCGCTCGGGGAGTGGCTACTGTCAGCCCTTTTCTGCGTCTGCAGAAACTCCCGCCGAACATCCGCGAGAAGAGGGAGCCTCCTCTGGAGTCTCTACCTCTCTGGCACCAAGACGAAGGAACTGCCTCCCCGGAAACTTCAGTCTGCTGCTTCAAATCGCAGCTCCCTTTGGCCGTCCTGTGCGAACGGATCTGCGGCAGCTGCAGGAACGCCTTCAGATGCTGCAGTCTGCCTCTCCAGAAACTCTCAAAGGCGTAGCATGCGCGAAAGCCTCAACTGCTGCGGGAGGTGCTTGCTCCGCCACTCCCCAGCAGCAGCAGCAACAAAAACAGCAGCCGCAACGGCAGCAACAAGGCGTCATGACGCTTCCCCCCATCCCGATATTCAAAGGGCGTCCAGAGCTGCTCGCAGCGATCCGACGCAAGGCTCTTGCATCCGTAAGTTGCAAGCACAGCAGCAGCAGCAGCAGGTGCAGCAGTTTGCAGGAGACAGGCTCGTTGCTTCCTAGCACCGGGTGTGTCTGTCTCAAGGGCTGTCAGTACACTGGATCCTCCTGTGTAACTTTCCTTGTGACGCTTCAGCGCGGTCTTGTAGATACACCATCCGATGAAGCAGCGAGCAGGGGGATAGCTGGCAGCAGGAGCCTCCTGCTGGCAGTGACTCATGCCATGAAGGAAGGCGTCTCAGTGTCAACAGCAGCAACGGCAGCAGAAAACGCAGCAGCAGGAGCAACAGGAGCAACAGGAGCAGCAACCACAGTTTCAACAGGAGCAGCAGAAACAGCAACCACAGTTTCAACAGGAGCAGCAGAAACAGCAACCACAGTTTCAGCAGCGGCGCATGTTTCCGATGCGCATGTTGCAAGCTGCCAACGATCTCTGCAGATCTTGCAGTGGCAAGAAGAAATGAAACAACAGCTGCAGCAACAGCTGCAGAATTGCCAAGAATCGGTGAAGGCGAGGGCAGCGTCGGAATGCGACTCTCTGGCGACAACTTCGTTTTCACCATCTTCTTTTCAGAAAAGAGACTCAAGTTCGCCTTTCGCGAAGCCACCCTCTGGGCTGGAAAGGCAGACGCTTTCTGCTGGAGCTGACACTGCCTCGAAAGTGCCGTCGCTGGCAGACTCTAACAACGGCAGCGGTCGCGAAAGAGCAGAGCAGAACGAAATCGGGAAGAAAGCCTCTCGCAGAGAATCGCGAGAAGCAAGCATGCAGGGGGTGTTTGCTTCGCAGCAGAAACAACCCCACGCAGAGGGGCCCCCCATCACCACTACCCCCAGCAAAGGGTCCAAGAGGGCCCCCAGCCTCTCCATTGACATCCACATCAAGGAAACGCTCAACTACCAACTCAAAGGAGGAGAATCATCAGAAGGATCGCAACAAGAGACGTCTGTGGCAGTGAGGAGACAACGCTCCTGAGGAGCAGTCGAGTTTTTCTCTGATTACATTTCTTGTGGAGCCGCCACTTCTCAAAAGCTCCCTGCAACCTCCCCGCAGCTGGGATAAGTGCACTTGACATCGCGTGAATTCTGCCTTATAGAGACAGAGAGAGACAGACACACAGAGAGAGAGAGAGGGATAGACACATACACACACACACACAAAAATACATACACATATACACACACACATACATCTTTGCATTTTTCTCCTGTCTCCCAAGAGACACAAATCTACATACATACACATATACACACACACATACATCTTTGCATTTTTCTCCTGTCTCCCAAGAGACACAAATCTACATACATACACATATACACACACACATACATCTCTGCATTTTTCTCGTCTCTTCGAAGTGTTATTTACCAGCAAGTGTGGGTTGCAACAGAGCTTCTCCCCCCTTTTCTACGATTCTGCATGCGTTTCTTTGCGTTCTCAGGGTCATGTTTGGTTGTCTGCTCCCTCAGGATTCTCAGGAGAGATTGCCTTGTCTCTCTCTTTCTATGCGGCTCCCCGACTGCCTTCGCTCAGTATCCACCCATCCGCGCGACTGCAGACAAAGTGCGTGCATGCATGCATGCATGGATGCACGCGTGTGCTACTGTCCTTTTCGCTACTGTTGTCACTGCTACTGCTGTTGCAAAGGCTGCTTCCACTGATGCAGATGCTATTGCTGCTTGTGGTACTGCTACTGCTGTCGTGAATGCTGCTTCCACTGATGCAGATGCTATTGCTGCTTGTGCTACTGCTACTGCTGTTGCAAAGGCTGCTTCCACTGATGCAGATGCTATTGCTGCTTGTGCTACTGCTACTGCTGTTGCAAACGCTGCTTCCACTGATGCAGATGCTGATGCTATCGCTGCTGTCACTGCTGCTTGTGCTACTGCTACTGCTGTTGCAAAGGCTGCTTCCACTGATGCAGATGCTATTGCTGCTTGTGCTACTGCTACTGCTGTTGCAAAGGCTGCTTCCACTGATGCAGATGCTATTGCTGCTTGTGCTACTGCTACTGCTGTTGCAAATGCTGCTTCCACTGATGCAGATGCTGATGCTATCGCTGCTGTCACTGCTGCTTGTGCTACTGCTACTGCTGTTGCAAAGGCTGCTTCCACTGATGCAGATGCTATTGCTGCTTGTGCTACTGCTACTG